ATTGTGCAGTGTTTTGTTTTGTTGAATCAATATGAGTTGAAACCAACTTGACTGCTTAAAAACAGCGGCAGGCGCAGTTCTTTAGGAATACAGCACATCTCTTCCTGGGTCACCATTTGTTCTTAATGTTTTGTAATTCACTGGGACTTAAGTCTAGTTGTAAGTTTAGAAGCAATAATGAATGGTGCAGGCATTTTCTGGGAAAACTTAGCCATGTTTGTAAGGCATATGCCTCAGGCAACATTTTAGATACAGACTCAGGTGATCTATCAGTAGGCACAGTTGGGCTAATCTCCTCAAATGTGGGTGGAGGGGATAATGGTTTTACTGATAATGAATTAGCAGGCAAAGATTAAGTAATCTCGTCCAATGGGAGGGGTGGACTGCTGATTGAAGTGATTCAATGAAATTTGAGGGCCCCATTTGTAGACCACTGGAGATCCCCTTGCAGAGGGGCCTAGGGGAGGAGATGAGCCAGTCAGGGTGCGATTTAGCAACAATGAAAAATACAACTTTCCTCTAGTTCCTAAATCCCCCCCCCCCCCCCACTATCATGACACGAATTCTACCTTGCAAGTCTGGCTGGACCAGAGGATGTACACTGATACAGATAGGAACTGGAAATCCAGGGAATCCAGGGCGGATGAGCCCTACAGGACCAGTGCTGTGAGTGGCGATACTGGGAGGGTAGAGGGAGAGTGGGTTGGAAAGAGGGAACCTATTATAAGGAACTATATGTGACCCCTTCCCTGGGGGACGGACAACAGAAAAGTGGGTGAAGGGAGACGTCAGACAGGGCAAGATATGACCAAATAATAATTTATAAATTATCGAGGGCTCATGAGGGATGGGGGAGAGGGGACGGAGCGGGGGAAAATGAGGAGCTGATGCCGGGGGCTTAAGTGGAGAGGAAATGTTTTGAGAATGATGAGGGCAATGAATGTACAAATGTGGCCTGCTATCAAATGACCCCCATGTCCTTTTCATTGAACTAATTTCAAAAATTGTGTGAAGCCAGGTTGACTAGAGAAATAAATCAAGTGACACTCATATATGTATAAGATAGAGCTGTATATCAAGAAGTAATTCTATATCAGGAAAACATCCCAGCCCAGTCCAACTCAAGTGCATAGGTCCAAAACTAGTCCACAAGTCCCTCTTCAGATTCATGCAGCCACATGCAAGGATGCAGAATGCAGGAAGATCACAAACCGGTAGGTGCGAGGTTGTGTCTAATGGCGGTGGAAGGATCACAGGCGCAGGTCCCAGCGTGGCTGTGGCTTGTCAACAAGAAGGTGAATGCAAAGAGAGAGGGGAGAGGTTCCCAGGACCCTCCCTATGAGAAGACCACACCCAGAAGGGGTCACCGTCACCGTCAGGCTGTGATCTAATTGACAGGCTAGACTCCACCCGTAGTTTTATGTCTTCGATTGACACAAAATGATGTAATTACCAAAATAATATAAATGAAAGTCCCCTAAAAGTCACCCTACAGAGCTAACATCCACTTTTTAACATGATAAGATGCCCATAATGAGACAGCACACGTCCAGGAATCAAAGTGTCTACTCAAATGCAGTGTGAATCCTCAGATGCAGTGCAGTGAAGTGGAATTATTTAGTATGGCTCTTCTATTCCTGGTTTTTGTAACTCTCACTAAATGACTGGGTGGGAGCATGCAAATAAGGTATAAACCCAAACTCACTGCCATGGAGTCAGATCTAACTCCTGGTAACCCTATAAGACAAGTTGGATTTCCGAAACTGTAACTCTACGGGAGTAGAAAGCCTTAATTGAGGTTAGCCCAACGCACAGGAATTTAACTTGGGGATAGGTCAGTTTTGTTTCTGCACTGGATATCAAGTGAGCCATATCAGAGGTTGGAAGAGAGAATCCCAGGGCCAGCAGAAGGAAGAGTATACCTATCTGGGATCCCTGGGTGAACTGCAGTACCTGAGACCGCGAAGAAGAAGCAGCAGAGCTCGCGACATGGAGCAGCCTTTTCCCGCCTAAGTGAAGCTGAGTGCCTCTGGGCAGGAGGCTGACTTGCAGAGTAGGGCTCCCTTTGGGCATTTATCAGGACTAAAGGAGATTTGCAGCCCTTCCCTGTGCAAGGCAGGGGCGACGGGACCGTGGGGCTGAGAAGCTAGGGACCAGAAAGAGACGTGCCTGTGGGCATGGCTGAGAAAAAGCACTGCCCACTGCCGACAGACAGACTGTATCCTATTTTCCTATCCTGATCTTATAAACCCCTTCATCAGCAGCATTATCTGTGAGTTATGTGTGGACATTGCAACAGATTATAAAACCCAGGCGAGAAGTCGAGTGCCTTGGGAGGAACAGTTGGGGCGAGAACAGGATAAAGAAGGGTGGGGCGTGGAGGCATGTCTGGCTCCTCCTCCTCCTTGGGCAGATTCTCTTCCCCTTGACTGAGGCTGGAGGGAGTCAAATGTGGGCCATTTTCTCACTCAGTGGTGCATTTTTGTCAGACACATACAATTTAGGTGGACATAATTTTAAAAAATACATCTCTCAGGGAGTTTGCATTAATTAAGGCTGTGAGTCAATGATGCCTTTTCCCATTGTCCCTACCCAAACAAATAACCCCCAAACCAATTGCGGTTCAACTTGTGGTGACCCCATGTTCTACAGCGTAGAACTGCTCCATGGAATTTGCTTGGTCGTTATCTTAACAGAAGCAGATTGCCAGGCGTTTCTTCTGCAGTGCTAGCACCTTGTACAGCAGTTGAGCACAAACGATTTGTACGAGTCCTTGACCTCACTCTACCTAGAGAATATACCTCCTTAATAATTCCCCTTCCCACGTTTTCCACAGCTATCCTTCTCTAGATAATGACCACCAGGAGCATTTTCCTCCGATCCAGAGGCCAATGATCAAGCACACTGTTATCTTGTACAAAGAGCCCTGATGGCACACTGGGTTACACCTTTTGGTTAGCAGTTCGAGACCACCAGCCACTCTTTGGGGCAAAGATGAGGCTTTTGACTCCTGTAAAAAGTTACTCTCGAAAGCCCACATGGACAATTTTACCCTGTCCTGTAGGGTGCCTCTGAATCAGAACTGATTCATTGGCAGCGAGGTTTTGCGTTTTCATTTGCATGTGCGATGGGAACTGATATCCAAATGATGATTTTTGGACTAGTCAATTAGGATTAAATCCTCCCTGGATGGTTTTCTTGTGAAATAGTATAATCTAGGGTTTTAGACATGTATGACCCACTTATATGATAAAAGGGTCAGCCATAAATACACCTACTAACTTAGTTAAAAAAAAAAATTTACCAGCCATTTTGAGTAATTTGGAATGGACTGAGTATTCCATATCCCGATCCAGTTACACAGACCTGCCCCAGGTACACTGAAATGGGTTTCTCTAGGTGAGAATGGGTTTCGACCCCCATTTGTCTCCTTGTCCTCAAATTCAAACTCATACACAAATAGCATGGCAGCTAGCATGTGCTGCTTGAACCCATGACCTTGGAGGCATTAAGTCCTGTGTTGAGCTATTGGCCTAGGTCAATATTACCTTAAGCTATGAAATGGGTAGGAGAGGGATGCCTTAAAAGCAATCAGGAAATGAATGCACACTATTGAATTTCCACTGTAACTTGTTAGAGCTGACCCTTTCAAACAAACTAAGAGGCTGCAAATCACTTCCAGGAGAGGGAATAACTGGCATTGACCAAGATATGAGATTACTAGTCAGCTTTGGGAAGCTACCTCCTAATCCCGTAATAAAGTTATGTTCATTTATCACCTTCCAAGCATAATCTAGGCTGCTGGCAAATTAGACTCAACCACTTTGCTCTCAAGTCAGTGGCAGGGGGGTGGATGATCCCAGGGCTTTCCAGTGCCCTTGGAAATTCCACCATGCTGCAAGGAGTTCGGGTGACATGGGGACCGGGAAAGCAAGGCACTGTGGGGCTTATGCCATGTCCCTGGATCCCTCCACCTGGGGCTGTGGCGGTTAGTCCCCTGAAATAAAGTCCCCTTTGACTGGAGCTGTCACCGCTGCTCTCCCCCTTCCCCTACTCGCACTTGGCCCTCTCTCACTCCAGGCCCTCCGCATTGGCCAGCCAAACACAACCGACTCTGATAGCCAATGGGAGTCGTTCTCCTGCACATTCACAGGATGGGTGCTTGTGGTGTGATGAGCGAAGGTTGGCTCCTGGCACGCTCCCCCCCCCCTTTACATCTGGCCATCTGGCCCTACACACACACACACACACACACACACACACACACACACACACACCCTTCAGCCCTATATATCTGGAGACACATATCCTTGCGGGCTCCTTGGAGCCGGCGGATGCACCTGATCACTCCCTAAGACTCCGGGAGGTGAAAGAGACATCCCCACGACTGACTCCCAACACTGAGCAGCCTTGCTCGGACGCAGGGGAGCTCGGAGATGCCTTAGGCGCCGCGCTCTTTGTCCTTCCCAACGGTGCCAGCTGCCCGCAGACTCTGCGCACGGAGAGCGTGGGAGTGGGCCGCCCCTCCAGAACCGACGACAGAAATGGTGGCGCGCAGAGAGGAAGGCAGCCCAGGAGTGGTGCAAGCCCCGCTGCATTGCTCCTCCCTTTCCTAAGATTCCTTCCTTCCCGGTGTCCCTGGGGTCCAAGCACAGGGGAGGAGGGTCTAGGCCCAGGCTTGGCGGTGGCATCTCCGGGAGCGCCATCGGGTGGCACGCCCTAGCGTCAGGTGCGAGTCCCCTCCAGCCCCCGCCCCGCCCCGCAGGAGGAGGCTGGCGAGCGTCGTGCCCACTCTCCCCCACCGCTCCTCCTCTCCGGACTTTTGTGCTGGGGCCTGGGAGCTCCTGGAGGGTGCGTTGCAGGAGGGGGCCAGGGTGAGCGCACCCTCTCCCCGCGCGCACGCACGCGCTCCCGGCGCACGCACAGCCGGGCGCGCGCGCGCGCACCCCCACATCACGCTCGCCGGCCACGAGCGCAGGAGCGTGGCTGTCGTCTTTGTGTGAGCCCTCGAGGGGGGTCGGGCCCCAGGCCGGTCCGGGAGAGATGGCGCAGCCCATCCTGGGCCAAGGCAGTTTGCAGCCCGCCTCGGCCGCGGGCCTGGCCGGCCTGGAGCTCGACTCTTCGCTGGACCACTACGTGCAGATTCGCATCTTCAAAATCATCGTGATCGGGGACTCCAACGTGGGCAAGACCTGCCTGACCTTCCGCTTCTGCGGGGGCACCTTCCCGGACAAGACTGAAGCCACCATCGGCGTGGACTTCCGGGAGAAGACGGTGGAAATCGAAGGAGAGAAGATCAAGGTGATCCCGCTGGTTGGGCCGGGCCGGGAGGGCTCTGGGAGGTGTCCAGCACGAGCCTATGTCGCCCACTGGCAGAGCCCAAGCCCCTTGGCTTCTCTTCATCCCCTTGCGTGAATCAATGGCCCCATTCTCACCTCCACCCTCACTCCCTGTTAGGGCAGTGGTTTCTCTTGTCCGTTTCTTTCCCCTGGCTGGTTTGATCCTACCTGGAATCACAGGTTTGATCCCATCCTGGACCCTGGGGCAGGCACCTTGGCACCTTGGCAGAAGGAGGATGGAGGGCCGGGTCTGTGGGATCCACCCCAAGACACCTGCACACCTGGAGGTACCTATCGGCCACCTCTGGGGTGTCCAAAAGGTCTTGGGCTTAACGTGGGGTTGAAGATTGCTTTATCTGGAATTACAATTGGTAGTTGAAATTAAGGTTGAGTTAGCAGTGGGCAGAAGGGGTCAGTTTCTGGCCCAGAGCCAGGAGTCCCTTGAAAAAAAATTGAGACAGGGTCACTCACCAGTCCTTCATAATACACAAAACTTGCTCTTCTGGAGCCATTCTCCCGAAAGATATCTCGCTGGCATTCTGGGCCACCTAATGTCCTCATCGGGTCAGGGCAGGGTATTGTCTGCAAGAGCCATTGTACAAACACCCAGCCAGCCTGGCTCTCCCCCTGCCCCAGGAGTTTACCTCGAACTGGGAGTGGGCACATGTTTGTCCATTTGCTCTCAGCCTTAAGTCTACAGGACGGGAGCATATTTGTGTGCTGGGGTTGGGGGAGCGGGGGGCAGGCAAGGGCTACTTCAGGGGAGCAGGGAGGAGGGGAAAGGGTCACGGAGTGGAAGCGCACCTCAAAAGGCTCCAGGGCGTCAATAGATTCAATGCTGTCCTTTTCCTATGGTTGGACCCTTGACAGGATCAGGGTGAAGGCAAATCTTCCAATAGTCAAGATGTCTGAGCCGAATGAGACTCTCCACTGTGCAGGGCCCTGCCTTCTGGGTTATTAAGATGAATGTGTTTTAAAATGGCTTCAGAAACAGGCTGAGGTACTAAGTGCTAAGAAGACAACAAAGATGGGCAGCCTGGGGTTAATGGAGCGCTCACAAACAGCTGGGCCCTGGGGCGGGGCAGGAAGCCCAGGCATTGTTTTCAGAGTGTGGTCTTTTTAGGACGCTGAGTTAGTTATTTGTGCCAACCTGGCCGAAAATCACTTGTGGGGCTAATTGAAAGGCTGAAAGGCGGTGGTGAGCCTCGCCTTTTTAGCTCTCGGGTCTCTTGCTTTGTGATGGTCGCACCACGGTGCAGCTGCCTTAGCAGTTCCCTGCTTTAGCTTGCAAGATTGACTTCCTACAAGACATCCCCAAGGAGAAGCCACATGGACCAATCCTGATGCAGCCCTGGGTGCTGGAGCAGCCGTGTGGAGACCCCTGCTAGTGCTGAGATGCTTGTTTGTTCACTGACTCAGCTTTCCTCCTGCAGTCGGCATCATTGCCTCTGTTTTGTGAGGTGGAGGACTTTGTGGACTGGTGTTGGGTTAATGGGTTAATGCTGGACTGGTGGGCTTGGGCAGCATTGGGTTGGGATGTTTTCGTGATGCACACTTTCTTTACATAAAACTCTCTTATACATGAGTTGCTGTGGATTTGTTTCTCTAAAGTACCTAGACTAATACAGACGCTGTCTGGATGGGTGGAGTGAGAGTGGAGGGGATTCCTCCATTCCCTTGAAAGTCTTTGTAGGTCTCCAGGTCTCTCTCTTTTCCTAGGGCTTACTCGTTGATGTTCACTGGGTTAGAGCTTTCGCTGGTGTGTCTAGCTGCTTGCAAGGGGAAGCTTTAAGATTCTGGAATTTCAGGAGACTGGCTTTCTTTCATTCTTTTTAAATCCAAAGTAGAAATGTATTTGTGCGTGGGCGATTGAACCTTCGGAATCCTTAAGATATAATGCTGGTATTGGTCTAAGCTCTTCTGTCACATATAAGTGCTCCCTGGATTTAAGGGTGGTGGTGGTGGTGGTGGGAAAGAAGCCCCCCATTTCGATGTAGGAGAAAGGAAGTGTTAAGAGTTTCTAGGGGAGGAGGGAGGGGAGGAGAGAGAAGGAATCTAGGAAGTAGGGAATGGGAGGTGCAAATGAAGCCCAAGAAGGACGTCACCCTTGACCTTGGGGGCTTTTTCAAAACATTCTTTCCCTTCTACCCCCGACCCCGAGGTCAGTACTTAGCCAAAGTGGGATATGCTGTCTTTGCCAGCAAGTCCAGATTTTTTCCCTGAGGGCAGAGCTTATGACAGTGTGACTCACAAGAGCCCAGCAGGACACCACGTGCATTGATGTGCTTCATACAGGTTTGGGGGGTGGGGTGATAGCTTTTAAGAGGGCAAAGCTTTGTGACCTCAGACCAAACATTCTTCCTAAGGGCGCTCAAGGTGGGGTGTGGGAGCAGGGAGCAGTGTCCCTGACTCTCGTAAAAGCTGCGCAATCTCAGGACCAAGACAGGCGAAGGCTGAGAGGCCAGCATGGCTGAGGGAAGATGGCAGAGCATGGCCACTGGGCAGCCAGCACGGGAGCTGGCGAGAACAGTTTGCTCCACCCTCCTGCTGGCCTGGAGTTCCTCAAGGAACAAGAGCCAAAAGCGCTCTGGGAGGTGACTGCCAAGGGCTTTCCCTCTGAGAGGGAGCGCTCAAGCCAATGTGACAGGTCCAGGTAGCCCTAGCCCATGGTCAGACATGGAAGGCTCTCAGTTCTAAAATACCAGCCAGCCCCGAGGAGGAACAGAGCTATCCCAGTAAGCTCCTCTCTCCAGTCCAAGAGCAGCGTGGGGCAGAGTTCCTGGGCACCATGGGCAGTGCAGGGCAGCCCCAGCTGAGACATTACCAGCCGTCCCTAAGGTCTTGAAGTCCATTTGGTTATCTCCAGTCCATGAGTCTCCCACCCTAGCACAGCCGGAAGATCCATGTTTCCGTTTAACAGGACCACTCAGAAAGCATCCAATCAGCATGCAGTACCGCTGCTGCTTTCTGTTTAATCCATGGGGGCAGTGGCGGTTCAGTAATAGAATCCTTGCCTTCCATGCAGGGGACTTGGGTTTGATTCCAGGCCAGGGCACCTTGTGCGCAGCCACCACCCATCTGTCAGTTCAAGCGTATATGCTGCTATAATGCTTAACAGGTTTCAACTGAGTCGACCAAGAAAGGCCTGGCGGTCTCTTTCAGAAAACTCAGTTGATGAAAAAACTCTGTGAATCATAACAGACTGGTCTTATGATAGCTGGGGTCCCTGTGAGTTGGAGGTAACTCAGCAGCAGGTAAAAACAACAACAACAACAACAACAACCTCTTGAAACACAAAGAGCCCAGGCTAGGCACTTCTCATATTTTATCTTATTTGATCCTCATAACAGCCATATAACCTCACCACCATTACTTCTATCATCCTCATTTGATAGAAACCAGACTGGGATTCAAACCAGACCAGTTGCCATGGCATTCACGCCAACCCCATGGCCACCCCTTGTGTGGCTGGGGAGAATTGTGATCCATGGGGTTTTCTATGGCTGCTTTTTTAGAAGTAGCTAGCCTGTCCTTTCTTATGAGGCCCCTCTGGGTAGACTCAAACTCCCAACCTTCCGGTTAACAGTGGAGTGCATTAACCATTTTCCCTTTCCAGGAACTCCAACTACCATTTAGAGAGCTTCGCCCTCACTTTCCCAGTGTCATGTGCATCTCAGCCTCACTCAGTCTTTGACTCTTATGCCCAAGAACTTGCTTTCGCATCTTCCCAACTTACTTTTTGGTGACAAGGCCCAATCAGAGTCCACACTCTTTAACACCACATTCTTCTCTAGGAGGCAATGTAGGGAGAACGTGAGGGATGCCGGTGGGGAGGAAGGAGGCAGGTGGCTTCCTTTTAGATCCGGGACCTAGGGTCATATGGCCTGAGGACCCAAGTACCTTCAAGATGTCTTGTTCCTCGACACCTAGGAGCCCGAATGGAGGACCTGGGATTGTGTTTCTGTGCCTTGTCTTGTAGGTAGGAATCAGCCAGTGTTCAGAGGTGGAAGAGACCAGGGAGTCTCCAAGCAGCATTCTTGTTTTACGGTGTTTATTTATTGTCTGGTTGCTGATCTGTGGGTAGAGCTTTCACATGCGTTTCACCCCTTCTCTGATTAAAGTCTGCACTGCATTTTGGCAGGAAGGCACAATCGGAATCCTGTCAGAAATATCTCCATAGCAGTGACTTTGGCTTGGGTTGGCACTTTACTTATTAGGTAAGCATGGTTCTATGACTAAATGACGAAGATAGACTAGAAGTGACAGTGGTTGGCTCAGCTGGTTTGTCCAATTTCTGAGACCGATTGTTAAGGAAGGGAATGGGCCTTCTTCAATCTCTTACTTTCCCACTGCCGGGTGGAATGTGGACATGATGGTCGGAGTGACAGCAGTCATCTGGACTCCTGAGGTGACAGTGGGACAGAGACACCTCTCTCCCTGCAATTCCAGTGTGCTCAGTTTGTAAATTAATTTTGAACAGTTTTATTGGCACATCATTCACATACTATACAATTCAATGGCTTGAATAGATTAAAGAAGAGTTGTGCCATCATCATAATCAATTTTAGCACATTTCCTTCCTTCTTGTACCCATTATGATGAGCTCCCCATTTCCCCCAATCTCCCCTGCCATAACCCTACAAAACGCATCATCTAGTCACTGTCTCTAGCGAATCACTCATCCTGGATTTCCTATCAAGAGAATCATATTTGTAAAAACCAACCGAAACAAAACAAAAAAACCAACACCCCAACAATAGCAAAATAAAGCACAGAACAATCTTAATCCAAAAAGAAAGCAAAATATGCTAAAAGCTAGAGGACATTAAAATGGGTCAAAAAGGGGAAAGAAATGATAAGACAGACGTTCAAATCTAACCTAGCAATAGCTGGGTCATTCACTGGGGGATGCACTCTGTCTGAGGGCGTTTACTGGAGGTGTGATCCCCGTGGGGACTCTGC